AGAGAAGAAGGGCCCTTTTGCACCATGGACTTTTCCACTTCCATGATTCGATTCGATCCGATTCCATTCGATTTCGAGGACTACTCGACTCATACGTCCACTCGAGATTTCTTCCCGATAGTTTCTATTCGAGCGTGGAATATCGATGAGCCTGAAGAGTTTCTTTCCCTTCGCATACGTCCCTTTTTTTTTTTTTTTTCTTTTTCTTTTTTCTCTGGAAAGTCGTTTTCTTTTTGTTTTTTTTTACGAAGTAACATTAAGGATAGGAATAATTGGAGATTATGTTTGTATTTGAATATCTTTGATTGTAAGATAAATTTTATTACATTATTATTCGATTTTATTTTTATAATACTTAATTAAAAATAATAATATATTATACACACACGTTTTTTTTTTTTTATAGAATTTAATATATAATATATAAGTCTCAAAGGGAGTTATAGACGGTTAATAAATCTTATGAACAATTAATTTGAACTAATTGTATGTTTCGTCCCTTACTGGGGACTTCATCAGCAACTTGATCATTTACAGTTCACGTGTCCATACATATTATCTTTTTTACAGAGTCATACATTTCAATAAAACTTAACATATTACAATACAATTTGATCCTAAAACACCTTATCTTATCACACGTAATCAAATTATATATTAATAACATAATTTATAATATTTTGACACAAATGACGATTATAATCGATTTCGAATGATAAAAGAATAATTTTAGCGTATGAACAATAAAAGAAATTGAATAGGGATTAAATTTGAATATTAATCAAAAATAATAATGATAAAAATGTTAGATAAATTTTATTAACAATATTCTGATACAAATGACGATTATAATCGTTATTGTTTTATCAGGATTATTTCAACACGCGTTCAAAGAATAAAAGAAAATAATGGTGAACATTGTTTGAACAGTAAAAGAATTTTGTGGTAGGTCAAACAAGGTGTAACCTTTCGCGATAATCATCCAATCTTCCATGATGACTTTTCCTGTCTCTTTTGGTATTCTTTTCTTTCTATTTTACACTTTCTTTCTAAAGAAACTAAGTCGATAACTTTGAAGAGGCTAGTCGAATAAGATTCGAATTGCAGGATACCCACCCCACCCCACCCCATGCCAGTTCAATTCGATTCTTTCTCTTTTTATTTTGATCCTTTATCGTTCTAGAAACCAAGGAACATTTTCTTTTCCATTTTACGTAGTAGTAAACATTGCTTAGAATAATGGGAATGACACGAAATTTTATTCAACGAAAAAAAGTATCTATGTGATAGGAAAATCTTTTGAATTGGTTATAGGATCCAAATTTATTCGTGAAACACCAATAGATGATTATTTTTATATTTGTATCGAAACAGATAAAACGTTTAATCAACTAATAACAACCCCCATTTCGTATCAATCAAAAAAACACACACACACACACATATAATATAAACTCACTCTCTCAATCTAATTAAAATTAATTATTATTTAAATCTCATCCATACACATCTCTCCAAAAATTAAATCCCCTAAATTAAATCCCCAATAAGAATCGAATAATATTATTTCTGCTTCTTCGCCCTTTCATCCCCCAATTCGTGTTTCAAAGTATACCCTTCAAATGATGCACGAATTGAAATAAAAAGAAAAAAAAAAAAAAAGAGAAGAAAACAATTTACAAAGGGTAGGAGGATGCAAGACGAAGAAGAAGAAAAAGAAGAAGATGTTGGTGGTGGTGGTGGTGGTGGGGTGGTTTGAGAAGATGGTGGTGTACAAATGGCTAAAAATGAGTGGTGGGTGGAACGGTGGAGGGGAGGAAACGAAAAAGAACGATTAGACGAGATTGAGAAAATCTTTTGTCCTCTGTACGAGACGAAACTTTTTTTTTCTACCATTTTATTCTATTATTTCGTCTCTTCCTTTCTTTTCATGGTAACACCCCCCACTCCCCACCCCAATCCCAACCCCGTTCCTTCATACACCCGCCCACCCTTCATCCTTTACTTATACTATTTCCTTCTTCATTCTCTTACTCTTTCTTTCTTTTATTTTCTTTCTTTCTCATTTTAGATCACCTCCTGTTGCGCCCTTTATCACGTAATGTCTTCCATCGGAAAGAAGAAGGGCAGTTCGTTATAGGGTTTGAGATAAAAGAAAAAGAAAAAAAAAGATACGAAAGGATCCGCTTCATTGGTTCCTACTCGACGTACGAGAAGAAACTACTCGAATTTCCTACCAAAAACCGTTTCCTTTTAACCTACCCCTCACCCCTCAGGCCCCACACCTAACCCGGTCAACCCCAAAGTCCCGCCCTCCCTCCTCCTACCTATTGCCCCTTAACCTTTTCTTTATCTTTATTTCTCTCATCAACCCTTTTAGTCTTTTCTTTATTTTTTTTTTTTATTTTTATTTTTTTCCCTTTTCAAATTTCTTCGCGATACAATGCGTACGCTTGACCCTGAACAACGAAATAGAAAAAGGGTGAACTGTGTTAGGAAATTAGTTTGAAATCGATTACGAATAGTTCGTTGAGTATTGTTGGATTTTAATCTTATTAATTTTGCTTTTTTGTTGAATTAGTTGTATTGTATGAAAATGTTGTTAGTATTGTTTTTTCTATTTGATTTCATACGTATTTTAGTTGTGTTGTTTGACGACTTTAATGATGGGATAAGATGGTGTCGTGTATTAAATTAAATATGTCTCTTTAAAAATTGATTATAGTAATGATTGTTAAATATTATTTCAATTTAATAAATTTATTAATTATTAAATTAAATTATTAAAAATTATATTTCT